TCAGCAGGACCCTCTTTAAATTCTTCATTTACAGTAGAAATCTGGTAGGTATGTTTCTAATAATCATAGTAGATATTAAATTAATCATGTAGATTTTTAAAATAACTTACAGTCCTCAGTGATTTTTGCTGAACAGGAAGAGGCACACTACACACACACACTTAGTAGTTAGCAGCTTTTATTTGATACTATTAAGAACTTCAATTCATGACATGTGTTGGGTAAATTTAGAAATGAATTTTTTAGGAGGCAAATCAAACTGGGGCTGTGATAATAGTTTACATTGAACATAGGATATTCATAGAGGCACTGAGTGTTTCTTCCTTTGGTATGTACAATTTTGTAAGGGCCAGTTTGTATGAAAAGGACAGAAGTTCCCAAATTTTAGAGATACCAAAACCTGGTAGGGTGGGCAGTGATGGTCTTGGCAAGGGTTATATAACAGAAAAGAACACATTAAGCATCCAAAAAAGAGTCTCACCACCTGGGACAGGAGTTGTCTGGTGCATTGTGTTTATCCTAACAGTCTAAGGTAGTGGTTCTCCAGAACTATATCTCTGTATCTGGCTGTACATAATAATCACCTGGATAGCTTTTGGAACCTACTGGTGCTCTTGCTAAACTCAAATGTTCTAATTTTACTGGTTGAAGATGGGGTCCTGGGCATTAGTTTTTGTTTGTTTGTTTTTGTTTTTGTTTTTTAACTGCTTTCATAATGACTGATGTTCTCTGATAATTTAAACAAATATACTATAGAAGAACCACTGCTCTACTAAGTAATATATTTTCACAAGCATCAGAAATAGTTGGAATTGAGTGAACTTGAAGATTCCTGGACCCCATAAGAGATCCAGAATGAGATCTCTGCTATGGGGCCAAGGAGTAAGGGAATTTTTCAAGCTGCTCAGGAGATCTTGAGGCACATTCAAGTTTGAGACTCACTAAATTTAGTATTCAAGGTACAAGGAGGGTTCTGGCTGAGACTTGTGGGTAAGATCAAAAGTTCTTTGGTATTTAGTCACTGAGCACCAGGTCAAGCTCTGGAAAATTTTGGCTGAGCATTTGAATATAGAGTAAGAGTGCTCTAAACTTGGAGTTCAGTTGGGGGGAAGGGGCGTCATGAGCACTTGTATAGGTTACAGATCAAAAAAGAGCATTCACATATATAAATTTTTTTTTGAGAGATTTTTGCTATAGGGTATGCGTGCTCACCAGAGAGCCAGAGAAAAACAGAAAGTAAGAAATCATTCCCTGGGAGGAATGGCTATGCCATAATCCCTTCTCTTACATACTCTGCTTGGGATTTTGAGCACACACACACACATGTGCCTAACATGAATTTCAAGCCTCCAAGTCTGGGACTTGAACTGTGGTTGACTATGTGGGAATCCAGTGACCTAACTATTATACCATCTGCTGGTCCTGAACATCCATGTTTTGAAGAATGTAATCTGCAGCATGGTGTAGGAGGAATTCCTATGATGTAGAATACTAGTGTGAGTTCCTTCTATATCTGCAATCTGGAAGCAGAATTGACCCCTTGAGTATTTTTTTTAATAATAATTTAATATTATATGTTATTATCTATTTTCTAATTTGACCAGAGAGAGACAGAGAGAGAAAGAGAAAGTGAGAAAGCTAGCCGTTTGGTCTGGGAGTGAAACAGCAGTCAGCCATGTGGGAGTCCAGCACCTTAACTACCACATCAACTGCCATTTTCTCCCACCTCAAGACGCTCCCCTACACACGCACTTGAGAATTTTCAATTTAGTAAACTCTGATAACTCCTAGGCAAAGTTCCCCAAGGATGCTAAAGCAAGTGATGAAGAGGAAGATGCAAGACTTTTTGTGAATCAGGATACACAAGAACCTTAAGAATGATTTAAAAAAGAATGAGATTTGACTAGAGTAGATGCTACATTGTGTAGAGAATTGCACTGTCCATAACTAAAAACAAAAATAAAAATTACAAGGTAAAACTTGGGTTATTTGAAATGAAACTTCTTTTAAACATTCTTCCAATTTTTTTATTAGTTCTCTGAAACAGAGACTCGAATATAAATCTTTTGAGAAATTAAATGAAATTGCTTTAGGTTCTCCATTAATGGTCTCTCTTACATATTTTGTTTCAGAATTACTCCAATTATCATCAGATTAAGTGACACCACAAATAAAAAACAAAACAAACAAAGAAAAACAAAATACCACTACAAATACAATTCCAGAAACTAATGCATTTTGTGCAGGTCTATACTGGTTACATAAATTAGAAGCTCTTTCCTCCATATACTGGATTTCATAAAATCTTAAGTACTTAAAGTAGTTGAAAAGAAAAAAAAAACTGAAAAATTCCCATATCTATTTTCAGAAACCAACTCAGCACTTCACTCCCCTTATCTGAACTTTTAGAGAGTGTACTTTTGGAATTACTCATTCAGTGTTATCCAGACAAGTAGCAACAGTACCATTTGTACAATATGTTGAAAATTTATCATATACCTCAACTTGTTTGTATTCTGACTTGGAGGAAACACAACAATTCAAACACAAAAATGCAGTCTGAGATGAACTTCCTGCCATTAGGGTGAGGAAAATATAAATGTTTGGAAAGGAAACCATCTGGTTTCTCAACATTATAAATCTTAAGAATAATTTCTAATACACTGAAAACACAGTGGTTTGAACTATAGGGAAAAAATGGATCATACTAGGCGTAATTTCCTAGTGCACCAGTAAGCCACATATTCCCAGACAATTGTATCTGTATTTACAGATGGAACATGTATATTTGCATATAAAGATTATGGAAGTTCTTTCAGCTGAGAGGCCTTGTTACCAAGATGGGTCAAAACCTAGGCTGTCTTATGTAATCACTATTAAGGCTCCTTAGTGAGCCAAATGTCGAAATAATGATTTCAAAGTAAAATTCCATATCTAACTCTGTCAATTACATGTTTTTATTTAATTTATAACTTTATTTTATTTACAGAAAATATAGAATTTTTTTAAATTTTTTTAATTTTTATTTTTTTTTTTTACCGAAATGACAAGAGACAGGCTACTTCCACCGATCTAAAAGCCTGGAGACACTGATGTAACTAACTTGTAGGTTACCTATGAATCCAGTTAGGAAAGCTTAGCCCATCAATGTGTAGGAACTGCTATAAAGATAAGTAAGAATGCCAATTTCTTCAACAAGTGCTATGGAAAGAAAGCTAGACCTGTGGTTAGATTATAAATGACTTGAAAAATACCTAATGAAATGCAATCTGGAGACTTTTTTAGACCCTGGTTCACACAAACTGATTGTGCACAGACATTTTTGAGACAATGCAGAAAATTAGATAGGGTCTGAATATTGGAGAATTTGAAAAAATTGTTAATTTTGTTTGTTATGGTAATAATGCTGTTGCAATGTTTAAAAAAATCAAGTATTTTACAGGTGACATATATCTTATCTGGGAATTGCTTTAAAGTACTCCTGCAGATTCTTTTCATGTGGGCAGGGAGTGGCAAATGACCAAAAAGGGCAACATACTCAATACTGTTGAAGCGGAGTAAGTGATGGCTACATTACTCGGACTCTTTCACTATATATATATTTTGTATTTCTTTGAAATTTTCCATAACTTAAAAAAGACTAGTAAGTAAAATAATTAGAGTCAATTCCAGAATGTTTTCATGTTAGTTTAATGTCTTTTATTTTAAACTATTATTAGCTGGGTGGGATCTAGCTCTCTTAACCACTAGGCTATGGGGCTGGCCCATTAGTTGAGTTTTGAGCTACATTTTAGGGAAGAGAATAAAGAAAGGTTTGTGAATGACAGGGAATGGATGAGATTGGTCAGATTAAAAGAAGACAGATATCTGTTGTATGCATGTGTCAGTCTGTAACTGAAGGCTAGCTAATGATGTAACTCTGAAGTTAACTTAGCGGGATTTAAGATAGAGTCTTTTCATCTTCATCTACTTGAAGAGGAATAAAACTCCCTTATTATTAGATTGCACAGAAAGAGGGAGTTCTGCTGGCTATCAAATCACCCTTCAGCATGTAAGGCAATGTTGTCACTGGTTTGAATAACTAGGAGTGAAACAGATGACAAGATCTGCCATGTTCATTACAGGAGACAGAATAGGATCAATGCCTAAGTGCAGTGAAAGCTACTGGATTACATGTAACAAAGAGTATAAGTGGACCTGAGCCTCTATTTATTAAATTGAGCAATATTAACATGTCTGAAGTTAACTTAGCGGGATTTAAGATAGAGTCTTTTCATCTACTTGAAGAGGAATAAAACTCCCTTATTATTAGATTGCACAGAAAGAGGGAGTTCTGCTGGCTATCAAATCACCCTTCAGCATGTAAGGCAATGTTGTCACTGGTTTGAATAACCAGGAGTGAAACAGATGACAAGATCTGCCATGTTCATTACAGGAGACAGAATAGGATCAATGCCTAAGTGCAGTGAAAGCTACTGGATTACATGTAACAAAGAGTATAAGTGGACCTGAGCCTCTATTTATTAAATTGAGCAATATTAACATGTGTTATCCCACTGCAATACTATCTGGGTAAGATTAGAGGCAGACTATGTTCAGCTGACTGAATGATTTACGAGTGATTTTTCTTCCAGTTTTATGAAATTGGCAATAGTGGTAACAAATCATGAAATGAAACAGAAGCTTAATGTGATGAGTGGGAGCTAGTTACCAAGAGACCTAAATGTGTTTAGAAATAAGACCAAACCTATAAATAATGCAAGAGGGCTCCAGTTGTTTAGTAGGTGAATATAATGATCTTGGTCTTTTTCTGCATA